TATGACTACGACTTTCTTCCTGATATCGCGGCCACGAAAACGACACGTACATCTGATGGACATTTGGCCCAAGATAGTTCACACATCAATATTGATTGCTAGGGAGCGTGAACTCCTTCATAAGTGGATCTTCATTCGAGCGTCGCGATCGCTCCGTCCATGGGCTCTCCGCAACCTGGCCGTTCTTCTGTCTACATACTACATACTGGACTTGATATATGCCGGCGTTCAAGTGCTTTGGGTTCACTTCCTATTCAAGTTAACCGTGTTGGCATGTCGGCTAGTGGTGGCTATTGACAAGTCTCGGTTTTCATATGATCTACTTAAGCGAGATCTGTGGACTGTGAACTACTTGAACGGGGCTGCACTTCATTTGCTGCTGTACTGGATGATCGTTAACACAACAGCTTTCTTCACTGTGCTGTTTGGCATATTGTTTGTCAGTAAAAGTAAGAAGGCATGGGCTAGGAATTGATTCGCGGCTGGCATGGCCCGACTCCTGGGCACCATCAGCAGAGATCTGGGTCGACCAGCAGTACCTGGCCCGGGCAGGCTACTTGGTGTCTCATCACTCCTACAATCAACATGGCATTAGATCGTACTGTAATCTCAATTTATAGACTTCTTTTCGTAATCTCGAACGTTCCTGGTGTCCGGTGTCTAGTGTTGCGGTATACGCATGGCTTGAACACATCTTCTTACAAGGGTATTGTCTCAATCGCCCCAGAGATTGCCAGATACCTACCGTGTTCGGATCTGACGCGATTAATGGGAATCCAAAAAGAGCCCGACGCTCCTTTCTTGTCTCAACTCTCAAGGCCCCCAACCATCTGAGCAAGATCTCTCTATACGCGTTCTTGCCATGCGCCGGGATCGTATTAGAGGATTTCGATATCTCCGAAGATGGACAGACAGGTTCGGACGCAAAACCCACAGCTTCGCCACTTTGTACGCGATATCACATCCTTCTCATTGGCATGACAAACATCGCCATTGCGAGACGTCAGATACGTTGTCGGCCGCGGTCTTACCCTAGCGTAGTCCAAGTCAACATGCCAATACTCTTGTGAGGTGTAGAGTATGAATAGCCAGCCAAACACATTCATGCTGCTGACAGTAGCGAGCTAAGCGACTTGCCGCCGTGCCCAGGTGCGATGGACCGTCCCGTAATTTTATCGTATACGGCGGCTCCGTCATCTTGTGCATGTCAAGAGAGGCTATGCCAGGGCTTGGTATCTTGGGGCGGAAATGTTCATCCTGCCACGTGCCAGCGGAGCGCGAGCATGCACAGGTGTGGTCTGGTAATCTGCAGCTGTTATGCGGCATTCGGCTGTTGTCCGTGGAGACGGATGTTGCATATCGTGAATCCACCTGGGCATGGTTCGATCGTACACGCAGGCCATTTCCAGACAGTAAACACGTTTACTGCCCATGTTGTTCCATGGTAGTTTGGTCGAGGTGAAGGTACCAGGTCACCAGATGCAAGACCGAAAAAGGCATGGAGTTCCACCACGGGCATAGATTTTCCCCCGACCCGCTCATTACCCCGCACACGCTACCGGCGTCTACTGTTCTGTCAAGCTTCACCACCCATACCATCGATAACGGTCAGCCGCCAAGTGCCTTACGTGCATCCTCCATGCAGCTCTCTGCCTATAAAATATCGCGACCCCAGATGCCAACCATAGGGTAAGGCTTGACCTTGTCGACTGCCAAGTGGACCCTTCCCCAGATTCGCTACGATGATCCGAGAGATAGCTTGGAACAGCAACTGTTGCGGTAAACATGGGACGATGCTAGTCCTCGTGCAGTTTCCCCGCGGGGTATGACTGTAGTGATGGCGAGGTAGCATCATGAAGGATGGCTCGGCAATGAAGGCCTGCAAAGCGAGGCAGCGGGCATAAGAAGACACACACCCTTCGCTCGGAATGCTCATAATCAGGCTAGAAACTATACTCTATCATCTATCTTACGATCAACTTAACTAAACCTTTGACCAACATATGGGTTGCTTCAACACTCATGCATCTGGTACTCTGGACCCGCCAGAGGTCCGCAACTGGCGGATCCACCTCATCGCACTCATCGCCTCGATGTCTGCGCTAGCTAGTAAGTATGATTGAATCAGTCTGAGTGTAAAAGCTAATGTCGAAACAGTGGGTTACGATACAGCCGTTATTGGCGGGACTATGGCCCTTGAATCCTTCATTCGTGACTTTGGCATGAACGACATCGCAAAGAGCAATCGCGACACAATTCAAGGCAACATCGTTTCTACTTTCCAGGTAGGTTTCCAGAAACGAGCTGTTGCCAAGTCGTCGCGGACTGACAATGAGTAGGCGGGATGCTTCTTCGGAGCGCTTATCGCTTTCCCCTTCGCGGAACGCATTGGACGAAAAAAGACTATGATATTTGCGTCCGCAGTATTCCTGCTTGGCGGCACACTCATGACTGCCTCTCAAGGTAGCCTCAACATGATCTATGGCGGTCGAGCCGTAGCAGGTCTAGGCATTGGCGCATCAAGTATGGTCGTGCCTGTTTACATCTCTGAAACAGCTCCACCTTCCATCCGTGGCAGGCTGGTCGGTATTTTCGAAATTGCTTCGCAAGGTGGAGGTATGCTGGGCTTCTGGATCAACTATGCTTGTGATCAGACCATTAGCGTCAAAGGCCAGACGCAATGGATCGTTCCTCTTGCGATCCAGCTCATCCCTGGTCTGCTCTTGCTTCTCGGTGTCGCATGGTGCCCTGAGTCGCCTCGATACCTCGCAAAGAAGGACAACTTCGAAGGCGCAGAACGCATCTTATGTAAGATTAGGTGCCTCGACGAGTCACATGCGTACATCCAGCACGAGATGAGCGAGATCCGCGCGCAAGTCGAACGACGTAGCGCCAATCGACAGAGCAAGAAGCAACAGTTCATGAAGCTATTCCAGAAGGGTGTGCGTAACCGCATGGCCATTGGTCTTGCGCTCATGTTCCTGCAGTCCTTCACTGGTGTAAGTATATACCGTCTGCACGGCACGATAGAGGCTAATCTGTCAGGTCAACATCATCACTTACTACGCACCTCGCATCTTCGAAACACTTGGTATCTCTGGAACGTCGCTGAAGCTCTTCTCCACTGGGTTCTACGGTATCGCAAAGACACTCGGCATGTTCACCTTCACCTTCATCGTTGTCGAGAAGGTTGGTCGCCGTAAGGGCCTTATCTGGGGAGCTGCGCTCGGTTGCATACCCATGTGGTACATCGGCGGTTATGTCATGAAGGCTGATCCAGCTGGAGCTGCTTTGAGAGGCGATGTCACACGAAACGGCTGGGGCTACCTTGCTATGGTCTGCGTTTACATCAACGCCTTCATCATCTGCGCTACGTGGCAGGGGATCACGTGGACTTACGCTTCCGAGATCTTCCCACTCGACATTCGTATGCTGTGCGTTTCGCTAACGACCGCGGATACTTGGCTCGGTTCTTTCATCATTGCCCGCAGTACCCCATACATGATCTCAGATCTGGGTTACGGGGCTTACTTCTTCTTCGCCACCATCTTAGTCGCAATGGGTATCTGGAGTTTCTTCTTCGTACCCGAGACAAAAGGTATCAGTCTTGAGGAGATGGACGCCCTCTTCCTAAGGCCGATGCACCAGGCTGTTTGGGCGCAGCTTCGCGGCAAGCCGATATTGACCGAGGAAGAAGTCGTTGCAAGGAATAAGGGTATGGAACATGAGAAGGATATTGGTGTTGAGACAATTGAAACAGTAAAGAGATAAGACGAATGAAGGCGACGAGGGGGCGCGATCGATGATGGCCGACAACTCGGCGTCATTCCCTCTTGTCGCCAAAGAAGGCGGACGGACGCGCTTGGACCTTTCCAACCCTGGAAGGTTCAGGCGGCATTCAATCAACAACCCCGTCTTCATACTCCTGCATTTATCTCAGCGCTTGTGACATGTGATGCACTGGTTTTCTGATATTGACTCTCACTCTTCATTTGCATCGATGCGCTGCAATACCTGGTACTAACTCAGCATGCCCAGCGCTCCAGCTACCCGAGTAGGATATCGTTGCTTAGGTAATGGCAGCTTGGCGCTGATCGCAATCCCCTAACTGGGAAGCTGGCCTCCTGCATTACCGCTCTGATAAGACGACCACACGAATTAGAACACATCGCACACTTTCTCTGACGATGTACATCGACCGTTACTTCACTGTTCGGCATGGAGACCAGAGCTGCAAGCGATCTCATCGTCCAGGGAAAGCACGAAGAACTCCGGCGACAAACCCCACACTCCCGCATTCAATAGCGAGACGTCCTACGCGGCAGTACGACCACCAAGAATCTTCTGAGACGGACGAGATGCGGAGAAGTCATTGCATCTGGTGTCTGACAGCCACGGTCGCGTCAGCACCCCGATGACGGTCGATGCCTGCAATTCTTGCCGAGGTACCCGAGTATGATGATTGGCTGAACGAGCGGATGATCTACGGCGGAAGGGGAGCTTGCGCAGTGCCGAGGCATCGTTAACAAGCTGATTGGTGGTCGGACAATAAGAGGAACTCACCGGAAGCGATTTGTAGACCGCATCCAGATCTGTTGCAGGGGAAATGGAATCTAGCATCTGGTCGCGCGCGCTATTTGTCGATCACCTGGAGCCACGACTCCGGATGCTGGGGCATAGATTGTCGTTCTCGCTTTCGCTTGAGTCGTGGACCTTTCTTCCTTCCACGATCATAGGCTACAGCATGCTTCCGAAGATGCTTAAACCCTGGAGTGACCTCGACCACCGCTCAGGCTAAACGAAGACCGACGATGATCTGCATACAACACCGACACAATATACACTATCGACATCGTGCTGACAGACTAACATCCAATTCAAATCGCCCTAGCGTGCTGTCATCTTGACTCATAACAGTTGTTCCCCAACATGGAAGTAGATGATCCGAGAGTTTTGTGTGACTTCTAACTCTACACTTTCAAACATCCACAACCTTCACGATGGCGCTGCACATCGCTTCGTCCGTGAGCAAAGCGCTTTTACTATGCTCTTTTGCGTCAACAGTCCTGTCAGCGCCCGTTGAGAACGGACCAACGGTCACCCTTGCCTCTGGTGTCATCATAGGCACCATGACCAAGCCCTCAAACCAGCCTTCATTGGCAGCCTCAGCGAACGCCTACTTGGGAGTTCCTTTTGCTAAGTCACCTCCGCTTCGATTCGCGCCGCCCGAAGCAGCAGTACCTTGGTCCAGTCCTCTTCAGGCCCAAAACGTCAAACCATCATGTATTCAGCAGTTTTCCGGCACTGACGGTGTCCGCGATAGAACCATAGAGTACTTCAATGACCCTACCTTTCCACCACCAGAGGAGAGTGAAGACTGCCTGTATCTCAATGTCTATACACCCCCGGACGTGACATCTTCAAGCAAGAAGGCTGTCATGTTTTGGCTCTTTGGAGTATGCATCTACTGCCCATTTACTTAGACTCGACAGCATGCTGACACGTGCAGGGTAACTTGGCTTTCGGAACTGGCGGACTAAAGTACTACGACGGAAGCTCTCTAGCAACCAACGAAGATGTCGTCGTAGTCACTATCAACTACCGCACGAACAGTCAGTGTTTCCGTCATGATCGGTCGCGATTATTCGTATCTAATATGCCCGATCTTAGTTTTCGGCTTCTCGAACTCGCCCGAAATTCCCTTCGGCTCCCAGAACGCTGGCTTCTTGGACCAGAGATTTGCATTGCAATGGGTACAAGACAACATTGTGCAATTTGGCGGAGATCCTTCTCGTGTGATGATCTTCGGTGAATCGGCAGGCGGCGAATCCGTCAAGCAGTTGCTGGCCAACCCACCCAGCCCACTTCCATTCTCGTCAGCTATCCTTGAGTCTCAGAATGCGGTCCTTCCTGGAAATGGCCTAGTCAACTACAAGCAGGTATTGCTGCATTTCGGCTGCACAGACATTGCTTGCCTTCGCAAGGTATCCGCCGAGGACATCAAAGCATACATCGAGCCGAACTCGCTCGCATTCCCACCTGTCAACAACGATGGCACATCTGTTCCCGACGTTAGACTCAGCATCTCCACCGGGAAGTTCGCCAACGTACCAACGATGCTAGGGACGAACCTGAACGAAGCACGTGCCTTCCTGGCAGTAGCCGGTGTAACGGACGGTAAAACCGCCGTGAACAACTTCTTCAGCCAGTACAACATCACATCTCAAGCCGTTCGTGACTCCATAATTGCGGCATATGCTGCACAGGGTATCACAGATTTCTACGAACTAGCCGATAGGCTCGGCACAGATTTAGTCTTCACATGTACGACCGCCAGGCTAGCGAACTACCTCGCCATCTCTGGTCGCACAACCTATCGATACCAGTTCACACCCGTATTCCCTTCGGTCGGGATCTTCCCCAACCCAGGCGCCTACCACACTGCCGAGATTCCTGAGGTGTTTGGCACATATCCACTTTCGAGTCAGTTCGGTACTGCGACGCAGCAGCAGATTGAACTGAGTGCTTTCATGCAGAAGACTTGGGCGAACTTTGCGAAGAACCCCGCTGGTGGTGTTGGATGGCCCAAAGTGGGTAGTACGCTTGGCAAAGAGTTGGGTGTGCTGGGCAAAGACGGAAGTAGTGGTGTGACTGTTCGGCCACTGCTTGAGGCAGACTATGCTTGCCCACTATATGCAGGCGTTGAAGATCTTCTGGGCTTGTCTTTCAAGTAGATGACGGTTCTGCTCCCAGAAATTTGCTATGTAGAACATGATGAATGATGGTTCATGCTCAATGCGCTATCATCGTTTACGATTGATATACTAAGCTTACGACAAATAGCGTAATAACAACAGTTGCCAGCACTCCTGCAAAGAGGCTGAATCCAACCTTCCTTCTACTACTCAACCTTCCAATGACAAAATCTTCTCTCAAATCTTTCTTGACCAAAGGTATCGAGAAAAGGAACCCAATACCAGCCAGCCAATAACCAATAGGGATAATAATCGCCAAACACAACTGTGTCACCCTCCTGTAGCTTTCGCTCGTTGTCTCCTCATCCATCAACGACAGGCCAATGATCTGAGGCCCTGAAGAATAAATGAGAACTTGCACACTACCCCAGATAGCGAGGCCGAAAGTTTTATAGCGCGGTGGAAGAAGCAGGGCAATGAGCGCGAAGAGACAGCCCAGCCAGAGTTCCGCAGTGAGATAAGCAATACTCATGACGCCGTAGAGAATCTTGATGCCTCGGTCTTCTGAGCCATCGGCGATGTCGCGAGAGAAGACCATGAGAAGAACGAAAAGAGAGCTTATCATGCCCCCGATACCAGTCAGATAAACGGGCGTTAGTTTTGTACGTGGCCACAGTACTGAGGTCAAGATGCCGCCACTTAGTACCGCGACTGACCCGACCACACCGACGATGATGCCGTAACGAGAGAAGATTTCGGTATGCGAGGGATATGTATCACCGAGATAACTGGGCATGTAGTATCCGAAGACGTTGCCGCTCAACTGACGAAAGCCGGCGGAGAGAACGAGGAGCCAGAAGGAGTTCATGCGTAGGATGTACGCAAACGTAGCATGCAGATCAGACGTTGCTGCTTTCATCCTCGATGTACCTTGGATGTGCGGTGGTATATCGGCGAAATCCTCGTCTATGCTGTTACTGTGATGGCGTGCGTGCATTTGAACCAGGCTTTCTCTTCTCTTTGGTTCCCGTAGGACGAGTCTCAGTAAAACCGCTACAACGCATCCTGTAATACCGATGGCTCGTAAAGCTATGCGCCAACTCGTGCCGGTTTCCGTAAACGCGGTAGCAATCTGGCCACTGATGGCTTCGCCGATGTACACTCCAACATAGAGTACACTCTCTCCGATGAACACATTTCTCCATCCCACCAAGTCACTGATGAGACTGATGGATAGTGCCTCCACACTTGCCTGTCCGATACCCATTCCAAGTCTTGCACAGAATAGCTGTCCGAAGTTGTTTGCCAGAGACTGGAAGATGACGCATAAACTCCACCATGCCGCTGTAACGGACAGAACCCATACGCGAGCAGATGTATAGTCCGACAGGAAAGCGATGGGGAGAGCGAGTATGGCGTAGACAATGCCTGTTGCGTAACCAGAGAGAAGGCCATATTGGGTCGAGCTCAGCGAGAGATCTGCTAACACAGAAGTCTGGAAGTATGATAGGATGAATTTGTCGTATTGCGCCAGGAAGTAGTTGACGAACAAAAGCGCAATGCAGAGGTATGCGTAGGCGTTGTGGAGAAGCGATTGCTTGGAAGTAGTTGCGTGCGTGGTCGGTACCATCTCGTCTTGGTAAGGCCGTTTCGTTCCATCATCGTAGGGACGTTTCATGTCCATTCTCAGTGCAATATTGGTTGTATTGAAACGTGAAACCTCGTAGATGCCGACATCAGCTGTGTCTAGACTCGTTGCATACCAAGCGGTGGCGCAAAATCGATGACGTAGCGGCCACCACACCCCGCAGCCGAGATACCCGTTGCGATATGAGGTTAGACGTTGCTGCGATCTGTAGTTCATAGATAAATCCACTCTCCATGATGCCTAAGCCAGAACCGCAACTTCCCTTGGGCAGCTCTTCGACACTGCGAGGGTTTGCCGAAAGCTTCTCGTTCCACAACTCGCCAGAGGCATTCATCACATCGCGTATCATCGATTTCCAAAGACAGCACCCGGAGGCCGTAGAGAATAGAGCTATCGTTCGGGCAAAGGTGCTGAATCGCAATGTCGCAATTGTCTCCTCGCATGCGCAAATCCATCAAGTCCTGGCCCAGGATGCGGCAGGTTACGAAGCCAGTGGCGCATATGCTGAGCTGATGGCACCGTTCTTTCCATCACCGAACTTATTACTGACGGATGGTGACGAACATGCATCTATGCGTCAAACATGGGAAGCGAGAATGGAATCTCTCAAGAAACTGCTAGCTCCTGCAGTATCTGAGCGGGTCAGTCAACATTTTTCTGAGCCGTCAACGTCAGAGATAGACATGTATGAGTCTCTGAAAAGGCTTTCATGGAAGATACTGCTCGGAACATTCCTGGGTCTCGACCGCGACAACAGTCTCTTCGGTACGCTGGAGAGCCTACAGGAAGACCTGCTTCGAGGCCAATTCTCGCTGTTCCCGGTGACAGTCAATACAGGATTCTGGCACTCGCCTCGCAAGAAGGGTAAGGAGGCGAACAAGAAGCTACAAGACAGAATGTTGCGTCATATGAAAGAAGAAGTGAAAGGATGTCCATTTGCTGTCGCGGACCAAGGCGAAAGAGAGGACGTAGCAAAGCACTCAGTCCTCTTTACCAGCAGCCTCGCTGTCAAAGCGCTAGCATCTCTTTTGACAGCCTTCCTGTTAAACCTTTTCTTATATCGGACGAAGGAGGGCCGATCGCTGGCCGATACTTTGGCCGGTGAAACTGAACCAGGGAGGCTTTCGCTACGCTTACGCGCCATACTATTAGAGACCGAACGACTTAGCCCGCCCATTGTAGGCGTTATGAGACGGTCAACAAGAGATAGTATCATTTTGTCGCCGGGGGAGCAGGCAGACATCAAAATACCAAAGGGCTGGGACTGTTGGTTGTACTTCGTGGGTGGTGGTCGTGATCCATCGACCTACGGGCCGACTTGGGACGTGTTCGACCCAGATCGATATCTTGACAAGGGCCTAGCGCCCGGTGTAGCCTACGGAGCGGGTCCAAAGACTTGTTTGGGTCGCGATGCGATTCGCGAGATCACGCTGGCTGTAGCAGATACATTTTTGCGCCTCGGGATCCAGATTGATGGGAAGATCAAACCGCGTGGAGTGCGCGGTTGGCTGGGGTGGGAACCGAACGATTCGGTGATGCCTGAGGATTGGGCTCGAGATATGAAGCAGTTGCCGACTCAGAGACCGTCAGACCCAATTATGATACGTTTGTCGCGTAGCTCTCCATAGCAGGATTTCAATGTATTCGTCGCTTGATGTTCCTCTTCGTTATGTTGAAAGCCAGCATGGTCCACCAGATAGCGTTCAGCCCAACCAGCATAGCGGTTCCGATCTGACATCGTTTCCTGAGCATTGCATACGCTTGGCACGGACCAAGGCCATGATGCTGGCCGTATTTCGTCAATATCCAGTAAACGACACCAAACCTTGAAACCGCGAATGTTGCCAAGAAGGCTATATCTAGAGCAGTATTTGATGCTCCTGTGCGCTGTCGGTTCCACCATCGCGCATGCATTAGTGGTGTACTGCCATTCATCAATAAGAACGCGGTGATCACCCACATCCCCTTTTCTTTGCCAGCTGCAATGTACGCTTGCAACACGAGTAACGCGGATGAGAGCAGCACGTGATGAACGAGAGTGATGGGTGAGTCCCGGGCCACAACGCGTAAGGCAGCGCGAACTGCTGACTGGTCCTTCTTGCGGCGTGCATGAATCATCGCATAAGTGTCGTACAGGAGGTAAGCGGTCTCCCATGCAGTCAGCGCGTTAGCCAACTTGTTGTGACCATTGATCGTAGGGTTACGCGAATCGTCTAGGTGGTGGCTCTTTCCGTGAGCGTCTTGAGGGGCTGATCTTTGTGACGGTAGTGTCGGCCATGACGCGTATCGCAGTAACAACAATGCAGTGATAGAAGATGTTGTGGCATGCGCTGCTGAAACGGCCTTATTGAACCTGATTGGATCTGTTGGCATTCTCGAGGTTCGGTATTGCAAAATGTTTCTTTTCAGGGCTAAAGGAGTGCCATGCAAATAGCGTATTGATGGGAGGCGATGAAATGGCTGCGGTGGCTTCTTGGGCGCTCCTCGGCTGACTGACACTCATGATCCGTGCGGTATGCACGTCATCGATCCCTTCATCCCAGCCACCGAGTTGGACCCGATCCGCAAACAACATCATCACGTTATTCTCAGTTAAAGCGAGTCGCAGTAATGTCTCGTACACTTTACATCCTGTACAATGCCGACGCATCTATCATGGGCAAATTGAGGTACGGTTATCGAAAGATTTGCCATTCTTCAGAAGAGAATCCAGCTTGTGCCGCCTGTATGCTTCCCTCGGCGAGTTTATTCGTCTGATAATGTGACAAAGTATGCTGATTCCCGCAGGTGATATTACACATGGCGGATTATCATTGAAGGAAACACCAGCTTGGGTAGAAGCGAAGAAAGCAATAGAGGCTGAGTCTGGACACAACATCGTACAACGGCATAGAGATGAGCTGTCTGAAGAAGTTCGTGGTCAAGATGGGATGTTCCTAGTACTGGGATCTAATTATTGACCATTTGCAGGTGAAAAACTTCATCGAGTCCAACAACATCCGTTATCCGACCATTGTGTCGAGCGGAAGCAATGGAAGTCTCTCGGAGGTTATGGGCAACTCGGAGCTTGCGGCTTGTAAAGGCAATGCACAAAGTGTCATCTCGAAGCTTCGAGAGAAGGGCATCATGCAGCAGAAAGCGGTCTCTCCTTCTCTGTAGCGAGTTCCATTCGATACAAGTTAGCTCAGCGCCTGCACAAGCCAATTTGTCCTTTGAGCAATGCCTAAGCATACCAAAAGGGCCATAGTCCATGAGAGATGCTGCAGATAGCGAGGAAAGGTGAGCATGGCTGTGAAGAAAGCCGCGCTTTCCGTCCCTTCGATAAGTGCTGGTCGCATCGCCACGCTGGTCAGCTCTTTGACCCTGCTTCCATCTTTCCCGCTGCCCTTGCGCTTCTCGAGAATGGCGCCAATGTAGAACAAGACGAAGTTGTTGACGTGAAAGGATGATTCTAACACAGCCACTGAGAGCCAGATGCTCTTTGCATTGGGCTCATCATTACGTGCTAAAGCACAGGATATAGGAATGGCTGAATAGACGATGAAGTCGCCCAAGAGGTCGAAAAAGCCGCCAACATCCGAAGACTGATTGCGTTTGCGGGCGACAGCGCCGTCGAGACAATCCAGTGCCCTGTTTAGTGCCCAGAATGTGATACTCGCTAAAATATTGTTGGATGCAGCGTAAATACAGGAGATCACACCCGAGGAAAAGGCCAGAAACGTGATGACTAGTGGCGAGCAAATGGAGGGAACGAGTGGCGTGATAGAATCGAAGAGCGTGTCTTTAATCGGTCGAAGCTGGATGTCTAACATGACCGCGGTAGATGTCGGCTGGATAGCGAATGATGGTGATGGGTGAGATGCAATTTCGCTATAGAATGCCTTCGGAACCGTTCCGATCGGATGACGTCAAGAGTCATGAATGCCCAGAGAGCGCCAAAGGAAGGCAAATGCATGCGATTCAGCATACTATGAACTTCTCTTCACTCGGGACCACATAGAATGATGGTGTCAACGTGTCGAGCTGTTCTAGGATCTTTGTTTCTCTCTTCCATCGCCTTCCCAGACCTATACCAGCCTCTTCTCACACCTCTGTGGCAATGGCTGATACGGAACCCGCTATATCGTCTGTCAACCTTTGAGACAATATGGACAGTCCTTCTTTACGCAGTAATCGAAGTGTCTATGACCGTTCTGTTCATGCGAAACCCTCAATGGAGATTTGCAGTCCAGCAGAACACGAAAGATGGCGACGCAGCTAGGAAACCGCATGGGATGCGACGCCCTTCGCGGCGATGGGGCGAGGCTGTCACGTACATGACGCCGCTACTACTCATGGATCTGACCATGATCAAGAAGTTTGCCGATGTTCCGCTTATTGCAATGCTAGAGTCAGGCAATTACTACGCGGCCACGGCAGCAATCGCAGCAAACAACACCACTACGGCGTATCACCATACGTTTCTGGTGCCAACACTGCACAACATGACGATGTCTTCGCCGCTGCAAACGCAACGCGCTCTTCCCAACCTTCCTCCTACGAGCCGCCGAATCGCCCTCGAGCTCGCGACGAGCTTTTTCTTCTACGATGCGCTCTTCTTCCTCTTCCACTACTCGCTTCACGTCATACCCGTGGTCAAGCGATGGCACGCACCGCACCATCGACACGCCGAGATACACCCCCAGATTACCAACCAGTTGCACATTCTCGAGCGACTGGGCCTGGTGCTGCTGGCCAACTTCAGCCTCAACATCATAAAGAGCCATGTCTTCACGCGGACTTTGTTTGTACCCATATTCGTATGGCTATTAGTCGAGCTGCATTCGGGGCTGGATCTACCGTGGGGTTATGACAAGATACTGCCCAAGGGTTGGGGAGGCGGAGCAAGAAAGCACAGCCTCCATCATGCACGAGGCGGTGGAGGCTACGAGCCGTACTTTACATGGTGGGACAATTTGCTGGAACAAGCGGGCCAGATTCCGAAAGAACATGTCGAATAATTGCGCACGAGCACCCTCGGTTACGGATGCATCGTACGACTACCAAAATGTCAACAAGCACAACGAGGGCGCGTCTACGGCCTATGTTTGCCTTTGAATAGCCAGCGAGCCGCAGCGGTATAAAACGATCCACAGCATAGCTTTCTATAGAGCCTCGCCTTTGTGTCGGTATAAGATGTGCGTTGAGCCTCCGCGGGAGCGGGAACTTGCGAGATACCGAGGTCGCTAAAGATCAGGCGCCAGCCGCCCCTATTGAACGCCACACGAGCTTGATTCACGATAGTATGGAGGGCCTCGCGACGCGAAAATTCTATACAAAAGAAGTTTCGCTGTAGAAAAATTGTAGGTATCGCTCATCGTCGCTCGTTCTTCGTACAGTCACTCGTTACAAATTCTGTGTCTCATCGACAACTTCACTCTTTCAAACTTCGTACTCTTCACAAGATCGATACAGTCACCATGGCTTCAAAGTTCATCCTCGTCTCCTTCATCGGCCTAGTTGCTGCGCAACAAGACATCCCAGCAACTATGTCAGTCCCATGGATCGGCGACATCTTCGAAGGCTCAGTCTTGCCGAACATGGTCGGCTCCGTTGTCACCGCGAATCCCACCGCTACGACGCTTGCACTCGCCTGCGCTACCTCCATCGACTGTGGTCTCTTTCCAGCCGAAACCCTCGTCTTCGGTCCTTCGACTTGGAATCTCAACATGGGAGACCCAAGCCCGGAGTCCGACTTTACCGCTACAATGGACTGCGTGATCATGCCCGAAAGCGCGATATGCAAAGAGACGGCTGGTGGAACCGAGGCAAACTTTCCCGGCAGCAGCACAGAGCCATACAGTGGCTCAGCTGTAGGCACGTTCGAATTAGTGATCACGGCTGGTGTAGAGAAACTCAGCCAGGCCACAGAAGCTACTACCACTGACGCTGCGACATCCACCGCTACTTTGTACAAATCACATCCGATGTCTGGATTTGTGGAAGAGATGAGTGCTAGCACAGGTGTTGCAGCGAATTCTGGAAGTGTGAGCCAAACTGCTAGTGCCGCTGCGGCAGATGCTACTGGCGCTGCCAATGCTAAGAGTGTGGTTGGTGGAGGTCTTCTTAGCATCGCTGCTGGTGTAATCGGAGGCCTGTTGCTATGAAGCCTTGATAGCCCAATACTAGCCTGAAATATATAATTGCTTCGCATCGCTTGGCCGTACATGGAAACCTTGGCATACTTTGGGATGCCCTACACTGCATGACTGCGCCTCTGGGTATATACTCGGCTTCGAAGTAGAGCACTCTATTCTCGGGGATCAATCATGGCAAATCAACACGAGATACTTGGCATCCCCTCTTCTTATGTCGTGTAAGAGGTGGTTTTGATGTGAGAGATCCCAACAAACACGTACGTGGAAGTACAGACAGGCTAAACTCTACTGCACGAATGGGTAGCGAAGAACTGTATACGATGTGGCGATTCCGGTTGGTGTTATTATTGCTGCAATGTACAGTGGAGGCGATGCAGAATAGAGAATCAACGCGCGCAGGGTGAAGACAGGGCGGAGGCTACCTACCAAGGCATGTATATAAGCAACGCCTACCGAGCCGTTATCCTACTGAACATCCGGCTCTCAACTTCAGAACTCTCAAAGACCATTCCACATCTCAATTCGGCTTATTAAATATGCGTCTCATTGTACCAACCCTCGCCGCGATGATCAGTCTCTCAGCGGCAGACTTCTTGATATACAGTTTTGAAGACACCAATGCCGGCGAAGTCTACGTACGATATGCTCAGTTATCTGGTTGTAAGCTGCAGATGCTAATGTAACCCAGAATGCCTTCCTATTTCTCAAGGGCGAGCCAGACTGTGCCGACGTATGTGACGGTGATGGCAAAGGTGGCTGGTTGACCGAAACGGAAGACGCAAGTGATGGTGGTGCGCGATGCAAGACGCCCAAAGAATCGCCATTCGGATGCTCTGGCGGCGAGGGCGAGATCCTAGAGCTGGAAATGAACATTAAGGATGGTAACCCGCCTTACCACTTTACGATATACAGTAAGCCTCAGCGTAACTCTTCTTGAATGGACCACTACTCGAGGCTGACACTAGCTCAATAGAAGAGAGAGGATACGAGATGGAGCCTGCGGGTGGAGGGACCTCACTCGGGAAGTGTACGCCTACTGGTGCCGATACGTATCAGTGTGTTTGCTTTCCCAACGGAAAGGGTGGGAGAGGTCTCTTTTCGTGCAAGTCTGACCTTACTCCGGAAAGCTTTTTCCCTGCCAAATAGGTGCAATCATTAGCTACACTGACACTGTTATCTCTAAACTGTCGTTACTGTTTTCAGTTTTCAGGTCAATTAGCTGACTGAATACATAAGCGTTATGGCGGTTGTCAAACTCACAAATGTAGTCTGTTTTCAAGTCAATCGCTGCATTCGATACACTTCGTCTGTTCTCGGATGCTCAAATGCTTGCCTGGTTTTCTCTTTCTGTTCTCATCCAATGGAAAAGAGTTGTTGAATGTGATCCAGAGTGATTCGCGAATAGAGTGGACGTTTTAGAGATATGCAGTCTGGAAATTGCTTCATGTGGCCAAGCTCATTGTCCCCTATAGCCGAGTGCTGTGCCGCAGCACTGAAGATTGCTGTCCGGGTGTATCAATGTAGCCTAATCATAGTACTGCCTCAATAAAATCTTCCTTCGTCGAACGTGACCGTCTGTGCGCTCTATCGGCGGAGTCATTCCAGATATCTGCTTCCCCCAGAAACCTTAGAAGCCTTGCAGACTTTGGAAGTTTTGCATGCCTCTCCCAGAGCCTGGAGTTTACGGGGATTCGTGTTGTAGTGATAGGACCTCAACGAATGTCATTCAGCCGGTAGGTATGCCGTGAAACCAAGGTGCAGTTGCGCGGTTTAACCATAGGTACTGCATCGTCTTGACAGCTCAGCTACTTTGTTCAGCCTCTCGGTCCACGTGGGTCTTGGATCTATGAGCCCTCATTGAGCGACTCCGTGTCATTTTGAGTCTGTTCACTTTCGGGCGTGCATTGTTTGCAATTTCCGTTGTCAAGTGTCGTCGACGAAGAGCGAAGCAAGCGGGGAATGCTGCATGGTACCTCTCGCACGCACCGATATGAAGGCTAGGAGTGCCCAGTCGTCAACGATGGACTTTCGATCGGCCCAATTGTGAGAGCGGTAGCATCCATGGACAAAGCGTCCGGGTGCTGCTATGAGAAGAGAAAAGCCGGCACTGGCGCCGTGTAAAGTGCGAGATCGAGCCAACCTTACCCCTTCACTCCATACACCTTTCCAACATTTTCCAGAGAGCAACGACCTAAATCTTCATCAAAAGGCGTGTAATCCTTCCTTTCCTCTTCTTTGTCTTCTATTTCGTCACTACGGACTTCGTGATCTACACATTCGAAGACAGCAACGTCACAGGTGAAGCTTACGTAAGACGTGCATTGTCCCTGGAGTCAGAGTATAGCTGACGCAGTTCCAGGTGGAGTGGAAGTTTTTTGACGGCCCACCGGACTGTAACGATGTTTGCGGAACATCCAGTCTATGCGGGACGGATGACGCGAGTGGTGGCGGAGTTTGTTGCGAAGGCAATAATCCAGCAGGTGGCTGCGCTTATTGGGACAGTGTGATTACAGAGCTCGAAGTGCATACCTTGAATGGCATGCACTGGACTATCTATGGTGGGAATCCGTTTGTCTACCACCATGTCTCGAGCCAATGACCTGAGTAGAGGATAAAGGGTTCGAAATGGAGGCCGCGGATGGCAGTGGCTCTCAGGGCAAGTGCACTCCCGATACCACGGACGAATACGCTTGCGCCAGCTGTGGTAGCCGTTCTCGCGGCCGTCGCATGTTCTCCTGCAAGAGCAATTTTACGGCGAAGGACTTCGGCTTGCAGACTAACTGATGTAGCCGGGCTGTTGGACTTTCCGTATATGCCTGTGTGGTGTCCTAGTCTTTGTTCGAACGTCTTTTTCCTTGGCTCCTGCGACTCAGTGCGAGTTTGATCTGTCTTTACCGAATATGTTGCACATTCTGCCATTTAAAAATGATCGAATCCGGTTATTTGAAGCTGTTGGAGGTTGTCTGATCAGTTTGTGATGTCTTAGGAAAGCAACGAAGCATTGACTAGTACGCGCAGACAACTTCCAAAGCGCCAGCCTTCTCTGACTTCACAATCGTTACCAAGAGGAACCTCCTGTCGTCGAACGTATCCGAGAGACGTTGGCACGTTGGGTTAAACGGAAACGTACCATCCTCGGTTAGGTCGTCCTCAGGCGCTGAGCTCCCTTGGAAATACTCATCCGCGGATATAAGCCGGAAGCGGCTCCGTGGAATGCCTTGGCGGTCTTCTATCAGCGCATTCTGCAAGGCAAGCGAACCATTTCCTACAAGGCCGATGCTTTGAGATGTGCCATGGGCTTGGGTGTTGTCCTGGCGTAAGATTAGAGAGCTCGAGATGGCGTATAATTGTGGGGCAAACCCAGCGTATATGATGGTCGTCGTGCTCGTTGCCCGCGCGCGCATCTTTTCGTCTATCTTCACTCCCTTATCTTCATTAGTTTCGAAACGTCCGAAATACACATACCGAATTGCAGTATCTTGTACTGTTAGGTTAAAAGTCGAAAGCGACGCGTTCACCGGATGTGCAGGTGAGGACATGGTTTCTGTGAGGAAATGATCAAATGAGCTGCTTCGAAATAGCAGGATCTAATGTGAGAATTCAAGACGTATGGAAACGTGCCTGAAGAGAGACTCTGAAGGACTCACGAAAGAGGAGGTCTGACAGTGAAGGGAAACTGCTGGTGTCGAGCGCTAGAACGCGCTTTCCTCACAGGAACCAGATGACGTCATCGCGTTCCTTCCCACGAACATCGCAACGACAGTGGAAGTGCCACAGCTCTTCAATTCCATACTTTCGAGGCGCATTCCTGCGAACTCGTGCAAATGGACCCCATCGAAGCGTGTTCTTCCAGATCGACGTTCTGCGCGATGCATGATTGACGGTAATTCGGACGAGCGGCACAGTGGGTGCGGCTAATGTGTGGCTGGCAGCTGCCCGTTCCACTGTAATTCCCGAGGTCAACGCGACAGCTCTCAACACGAAGACTTCACGAACGCCAGAGGACTGTATTCACGCGATCGGAAAGCGTCTTCAGGAGAGAAGTAAGTGTGGTTGACTTTGGATCACTAGCCTCACTAATCCCTCTGCAAACAAGACTGACTTGGAAAGTGACCCATTCTCCTGGGCTAGAATTTTGGAAGAACTGCTATACTACCGAACGCGCACACGGATATCGAATGAACGAGTACATGATGCCACCATCAACGCTTAGGTGGTGTAGTAGAAGTCGGGCCGCACATCACCCATATCCTCAATCTCCTCCTCGGTCTTGCCCTGTACCCAGTGGTCGCGCTTGCCCGCCTTCCTTAGCTTGTTCTCACGCTTGAGCGCAATGTGCATGAAGAGAGTTCCACCGAAGAGGAACAAGAACATGTAGGCGAGCACAATGCCGTGGCCGGTACGGTAGTGCGGATTCTCCTTGGGATCGTAGATGTTGGACGAGACGACACCGTTCATGTTACCCCACCCGACCACGACACCAACCATAACACCACGCTTCAATGATCCCTCGACGTTGTTGGAGGCCCAAGTCAGCGTGTTGGAGACTGTGGGGTAGATACCCATGGCACCGAGGAACGTGGCAGCGTACTGGACTTTCGGGTTGGTGGTGGCGAGTAACATAGCGAAACCAACGCATCCAATCGCCGAAACCACGAGATTAGAGATACCACGCAGCTTAGTCCTGTCGGCGAACCATCCAACAGCCACGGTCAGGGCGGCAGCAGCAGCGTAAGGAGGGACGGACAGGAGCTGAGCCTTGGTACCTTTGTGGCCCATACCGAGTAGAATCGTAGGGAGGAAGAGCGAGAAGACGTACAACGGGCACAGGCAGCCCATATAGATGACAGCGTATCCCCAGGTTTTCCAGTCACGAAGGGCGGCCATAACGTGTCGGCGGTCAATGCCCCCGACCTTGGCGCGGGCTTGTCCATCGGCCTTGAGGCGACGCTGAGCTCGCAGCTTCTCATCGGCTGTCAGAAATCGGGCCGTATCGGGGAAATCGAAGACCATCCACCAACAGAAGATGCCGACGAAGACAGTCATTAAACCCTCGATGATGACTGCGCATGTTAGCTTCAATCAAAAGGTCAGATTGCGTGAACATACAGATCCAACGCCAGCCCTCATAACCACCAGCTCCATCCATCTGAGTGATAGCGGCAGCCAAGAGACCACCAAAAGAGCCAGCAAGCGCTGCAGCCGAGAAGAACAAAGCAGCGCGGAAACCAAGTTCCTGACGCTTGTACCAGCAACTATGCAACTGTCAGTGAATGATACGAGCTTAGTTGGTAAGGAACATCTTACGAAAGGTAGTAGTTGACACCGGGGAATAGACCAGCCTCGGCAATACCCAGAAACCAACGGCATGCGAGGAGGCCACCCTTATTCTGGACAAGACCCATGAGTGTCATGCAAACACCCCAAGCGAGAATGATGGCCGTGAAAAAAACACGAGGAGACCATTTCTTGATTGCGATGTTGGTAAGCGGCTCGAAACCGGCGTAGGAGACGAAGAAGATGGTCAAGGCGTCGTTGTAGTCGCGACCGTCCATGCCGATCGCCGGTTCCATCTTCGCGACACGAGCATTGCCGATGTTGGTCCGGTCCAAGAAGGAGAGCAGATACAACAGCGACAGCCACGGGATCAGCCACTTGTCCATCTTCCAGACCAGTGCTTTGTCCTACCAGAAGTCAGCGAGTTCCAGCAAGCAAAAATGAGAGCGTGTCGTACGAGCGCGGCCCGTTCGGCATCAGATTTGCCTGCGTCTGGGTCGGGTAGGTCATCGACATCTCCTGGTGTGCTGATCCGAGAGCTGTCAATGTCGTTGGCGTAGATGTGCTGGCCTTTCTCGTTGGCCTCGTTGACCTCGAGGCTGGAGTGCTGCTGTACGGCTGCCATGATGATTGGTGCCTGAGGGTGGACTGGAGTACAAGAGTCTGAGGAAACGTTCGCAAGAGGGGGCAGCCAAGTGTCTCTATATGTACTCAGGCTCGCAAACGCCGTGGGTGTGTCGCTCGAAACGAGACGGACCCTGCTAGGGTTGATATGACCAGCTAATCTAGCGCAACCCGGGACCCCATGGGGCGGTTGGATGGGACAAGATTGTGGATCTGACTTAGCCCGTCTGCTGCTGCGTCCGAGCGTGGCGGTGGTAAGAGCGCCGAAGAGGGCGAAGACGCGATATCTTGACGCGCCTTCGCTTGGCGCTATCGGCTGCAGTACCACGTTGCCTCTGGCTTGTCAAATCTGTCACCAACCGACTCGCTGCGGAAGTCCACCCTCTCTCGCGCTTCACCGATCACCTTGCACGTCTACTCAGCGAATCCAAACGAAGCGCGTATCCATAGATTGGGTTTCAGCCTCCCAACTGCAATCCCTATCCTAGGAGTGCGGACCGATGCCACTGCGGCCCCTACGAAAGCAATTATTCCACCATATCGTTCTTTAGGCAGAGCCCCTCCTCGCTCCGGACCAAGCGCATGTATTGGGAACTTGCTGCGTTCCAGAACGACCGGGACTTGCGTTAAATGGCATCTCTGGGCACCGCCGACGAGGCCATTCGAAGCCTCGTAAAAACGCCCACCAAGACCTTGGCACAACGCCCTCACGCATGGAGCCGCGGATAAGGATTGGGCGACAGGGTGTTTCTCTTCAGCCGGCAGGACGAAGCTTTTCGCTGAGCTTCGCTCAGGAATTATAGTCACGTCGTGTCACAGCGCCCAAATCTCACACGATTCTCACGGTCTGGTGTTGAGTTTTCAACACAGCGCGCATCAAACAGCGGACTCTTCCCCGCCATGCCCATCATCCGGGGGTTTTGTGGGGTGGCTTGGCAGCGCTAGAGTCGGCCGGACTCACATAGGCCGCCCCGCTCGCCAGGCATCGCGCACTCTGGTGCTCTCTGGAAATCCCGCTGTCCACTACTGGGATAAAGCTGACGAGAGCCCAGATGGTGCATCGGATAAATGGAGCACTGGCCTCCTGCAATTCGCCAGTGCCGTCCAACGCCCACGGCGCGAGCGGAACAATGGAAGCTGCTGGTTCTTGCATGGCAGCGTCAAGCACCCTGCACCACCCTGCACCATGGATAGCGACAGCACTGGTCTGAGGCTACTTGCGACGGTCTCTGAACCCGGGCTACCGTCAACAAGCGACATCTGGGCACGGCATTTGCATTGACTTTTGGACTACCCGCACGTGGCCCACGGCGATACCGCAGGCAGTTTGTAATCGTTGCGCTGCCCCGGCGAATGACCTACGAATCCAAACACCTGGATGGCGCACACGATGTCATGCCTAGAAACGCCAAACAGCGCACCAAGCCGATCGCCCATGTGGATGTCGCGTGGCCGTCCGCCGGATGGGATCCAAAAGATCAGCGAGCGTTGACTGAGCCCCTTGCCTGCTTCCACCCATCTCAACGTTCCGCAGCTCCTAATTGCGTGATGCGCGATCATTTAGTTGCGTTGCTGCGGCACAGGTCGAATGCATGCCAAAATACGCCCACCTGCGACAGGGCTCCTAGCTTGTTATAAGCAGCCGTCAGCATCGGGAACGTGCTCTCTCGTCTCCTCGTAAACATGGTAGAAGAGAGATTGGCCAACCATGCCGCAATGAAACATGGTATCAATACTGCGTACTGTCATCTCAACACATGCAACATGCCTTCTCGCAGTACACGAAAGGTAAGTTCCAACACAAAGTGATTGTTTCTTTCATCTTCAATTACGCGAGAGCATCTAGAATCAGGGTCTTGTTATCGCTTGGTATTTATATGTCTGCATTATCAAACGCGGACATCGGCTATGCGCGTCTAACAAACTATCGAAACGCATCGTCTAAGCGCAGACGTTCAGTCTTGCTACCGATGGGTCGTGGTCGCTGACTTGCGCATCATACTCCGGCCATGTATTAACATGAATGTGCTCAAAGTCTGCCCTGCTCTTCTTGGCCAAGGATGGCGAGACGAACATGTGGTCCAATTCCTGAGCGTTCATGTCGAAGAGGTAGGTGTAGCGCTCGAGCTCGTCCTCGCGGACTACCTCGTCTAGATCCTTGAGCCCTGAGATCTTGGTGTACTCTTCGAGGGGTTGTACGAAGGCAAACTCGTTAAAGTCCCCTGCAGTCACGACACGGGCGTTCTTGTCCTTGGAAAGGATATCCTGCAATTCAACGTCAGCCGTGCTCTCATCTGCACTCCAACTTCATAGTTTCAGGGGCAAGAAAGGGCATTCCCTTCGTGCGCGCGTGGCGTTCTTGGTACCACCGAGGGACGAAGGTACGAGAAGCGTGCTGCAGCCACCCCTCTCCGCGCCGCCTTGCCGCATAGAGCCGCAACCGACATATCAACGTACCTTGACGAAATTTGCGGTGAGACGCGCCTGTTCGAGACGATCATCTAGAAGCATATCGTTAACGACTGTTGCACGAATTTACTCAGATTGATGAACTCACCTACGCCACCATTGACTGGTGGTCGAGCATCTCCATGTAAGCTGCTCGACCCTCCCTTTGAGCCAAAGTGTACATTGACCGTGAAGAACACGTTCGGCTTCTTCGCGCCGGCCTTTCCGATAACCTCCCACTGTGCAGCCAACGGCTTTCGGCTCGCTGTCCAGGCATCATTTGCTGGTTCGATACGTCCAGGGTTGTACTTCAATGTCGGGCCAGCAAGCACCTCGTTGGCATCGAGCGGACCGCCCGGGTTGGGCTTGTAGAGGCGAATCAGGTTCGGCTTGTACAGGTAGGCGACGCGGATGTTACCACCGGGCTGGCCACCGTCTTGATCGTCAACAGGCACAATATCGGTGAATGTGTAGTTTGGGCCACCGGCTGCTGAGATGGCAGCCGTGAGTGTGCTGAGGGTAAGGTTTGCGGATACGACTAGACATGTCAGACGATTCTGTTCAATGCGTGCGACGCGGGAGAGGAGTGCGGCTCGTATGCGCCCCGTCCCCGGGTATGACATTCGGTCAAGGAAAACGGGAACGCTGTGAAAGCTTTATGTAGCACTTACCTGCGTCGTTGGTGGGACCGTTGTCGTCCTGTACCTCCTGTATGAAGAGAATATCCGGGCTCTTCATGTAGTTCACGATGTGATTGGCAAGGTCAGGGTGGTGGTCAGATGTAGGTGCAAGGTTCTCGACATTGTAGTCGCCAAAGGTAATGCCATCGCACTTGCCGCTCGATACAAGCTTGGTCGCCGGAGGAAGAGCAGGCGTCTGGCTCTTAGTGACCTTGATAGCGGTAGTTGGGAGGATGCGGTAGAAGCCGAAAGCGTAGCTGACGATACCAGTAATCTCCTCGACTGAATCGCCCATCTTGGTGCCAGTCGGGTTCTTGGTTCCGTCGAGAGGAGATCCGATAACGATGGCCTCTGGGTTGGCGTCCTTGTCGGTCAAGGTCAATCCACCACGGTCATTGCGACCAGAAACCTTCCAGTCTCCAGCTACCCACGTGTCGCCGTACTGGTTGGGCTTGGTGAGCGCAGTAGGCTTCTTGACAGTGACCAATTCACCCGTCAAGCTCTCCCAGAAATCAAGACCGTACTTCTTGGGCTGCAGCTCCGGGTTGGCAACGCTGATCTGCGAGACGTTGTTCGGCACTGCGAAAACATCTCCGCCATCCAGACTGCTGTATTGCTCTTTCGGAGGGTCGCGTGTGTCCTTGCCAATGACCAGCGGCTTCACAGCAGCACCAGAGCCGAGACGCCCCTGCAATACTGGTGTTGAAAGCTGAGTCAGGTAGATGTAGTCCTTGTTCGAGCGGTACTCGACCACCTTTCCTCCCACAACAACAGTATCGCCAACCGTCAAGTTCGCACCAAACGTGCGACCAAAAACGTATACAGACTCGGATGTCCGCTCGTCGCGGTCAGGCTGTGTCGATCGCAACCAAAGACCATCAGGTCCTTTTGCCGTAACAACACCGGTAACATTCGAAACCGTCTGATCTCTGTACGGCGAGAGAAACTTATTCCCATTGATCTCCGCAATTGTCAGCGCAGTAGAAACCGCCACCGAAGCCGAAAGGGCGAGAAGTCGCGTCAAAGGCGCCATAACAAAGGGTCAAAACGAAGGTATGAACCGGAATAGCGTATTCCAGAATTGAGGCTCGGGCCCTATCTTCTTATAATCCGCATTGCTACCATGCTACCAAGTCAAGAAGCGCGTTCCAAGAACCCGGTTCCGCTGCTGTCTATCAATGACGATCGCGCTACACTCCACTTGACCTGTTCCTGACAGTTATCGCCGCTGGCCGTCCGACCCATCCGTTACTAAACACCTCCCCACCTCACGTTCGACTAACTCATCTTCGCGACTTGCCTATCACAGCCAAAGAACAACATGCCACCGGCCATGCGCGAGCGCCGATAGCCCTTGGCAATACCACTGATTCTCTTGACTTCTTGTGCATGTTTTCGACGCGTGCAGCGACGCGGGTGGTCTGGTTGGTCGGAGTGCAGCGCTGGACCCTGGTTTGGCGCGGGCCGAGACTGTAGCTTCTTTGGGAAGGTGGGACGGTGATTGGTCCGAAAGCGCGTGGTTGGGGAGATTGGAGCGGCGACATCCGCTAGGCGTGGCGGAGGGCTGTCAATCAGGTGGGAGAGATAAGACACGTGTGGGGATGGCGCGATGGATGTCTTTATGCGTGGTATAGGAGAAGCGGCTTGGGAGGTGTGGCGGTGGAGTACTCATGAGAGGCGGGCGGACGATGGACCGTGGATCGTGGACGATGAGAGGATGGGAGCGAATGGGAGGGATGCACGTGGGCTGGGCACTGATTTGGACGGCGTGCGAACAGGGTGGATGTACGGCTTTGTGAGTGAATGACCCGTGTCGATGCGGTTGTTACGTTATGTGAAGGTGTGCTACTCCTACTGCGTCTTTTACAGCTCACACACCTCATATAAGGAAAAGCTTCATCATGCTGGAGCCTACATCAACATGAACACATGAGGAGAAGGCACCGCGACGTCAATGTCGGCTCTATGGTATTCAGTTCTTCCCTTCAATAAGGTGCATTGATTTCAACAGCGGAGTACACATGTACGAGAACGAGGGAAGAGACGCAGCAAGCGCAAAACCACAGTTATGCAGCATAAAGACCGCTGCTGAAGCAAAACAGCTTTCCAAGCTTGGTGGTGGTAACAATGATACCAATGCTCGACGTCTTCTCATGGCCCTACAATGTGCGGTACCACGACCCCACCGCCTGCATCATACCAATTTCTTTCCATCAAGACAGCCCCGCGCGGCTTCGAAAGCGTTCCGACTAATCTTCCTTGCCTGAATCCTCGGAATATCTCCGCTGTTCCTCCCAGAATGTACGCTTATTGCGTTTGTCATTCTGATCCTTCCTTTCTTTCCTTTGCCGCTCATCTCTCTTTCGACATGCTTCTACAAGCATTGCTTGCATATGGGGGCTCGATGTAAGATATACCGGTCGCGCTGTGTTACCTGTTTAATTGATTAGCGGAATGGCGTGTTGAAGAAGATGTGTGAAAGATAGACTCACCAAGTTCGACATTGGCATGGTGACTTTCCACTTGCGTGAAGTTTCCGTTGCCGTCGCATTCGCTCCTGTTGAGTCGTTTGGTCGGGTTTATTTGACAATCGCTTGTAGCAGCCAATTCCTGGCTTGCCCGACGCTTCTTGACAATATTTGCGAGCGAAGACTCTGGCGAGAGCGTTGCTTGCGGCCTGATAGGCGTCGGTCTTGAAGTCGCAGGGCGAATTATGGTGTGAGGAGCGGGTTTAAGGTCGATGGGCCTTGAGGCTACAGAAGACGGGTCTCGAGCCATCATGACAATGGGATGTGTCAAATGGCCCATGTCGGTGGCTCTGTGGTGACTTCTACCTCGTAAAGATTGACCACTCAGTGGCTTGCGTGAACTAGGCGAGGGCTTTGATTGGCTCTTTCCTGGCATTCTCCATTTACCTGGTAGCACGGAGTTAGTATGCTGGTTTGCAGGGCTGGATTACATATTGCTTACCTGAACTGAGCGATGCCACATTCTCTTGGAACTTTACACGCAGCCGATGCAGATCCTTGGGCGGAGATTTCTCAACCGATGGTGGCGACGACACTGGCTTTGGTAAAAGACAGATGTCATAAGGCGGTGGTGAGTCTGGTGGAGCGACTGCATGAGGTATCGAAGACGTTGACGAAGTTTCCGTGGACCGTTCCAGAACGTTATCGTATTGCAACTGCATATGTCCTCGTTCCATATCGTTGATCGCTTCCACGGCCTGAATGAGCTCACCATCATCATCTGTGTGGGTCGAATGAGCGACCAGGCGTCGACATAGATCCAAGGCAGGTCTCTTCGTAGTCTTATCGCCTTCTGTAAGCTCCAAGATGAGCTTTTGCGTTGCATGTTGAATGGCCTCTAGCAGGACATCAAGCAACGATTGTGACGCCTGGCTTTCTCTGTAGTCTGCTTCCATGGCAGCGAGACGCCTGATCTCCGGTGAGCCACAGTCTTTGATTTCAAAGTATTCCCTTCGAATCCTGATCGCCTCGCGGGAAAAGTGCTCGCCTTCCAGGTACTCCTCAAGCAAAAACGGATGCTCCACTAAGCTCTTTATGGGAACTCCGGACATCGACCAAGAGCTGGGTACAACGAGCGGCTCAGAATCGAAAATCTTCTTTTCGGCGGTGCGAGTGATGTTACGTCGCAGGTCCAGACAACGCTTCACAGCGCGAAGCTCTTGTGCGGCTATCTCCTGCTGCGTCCCCTGCTGCATATTGGCCTGCCATTCCGCGGTGGTGGCATCAATCGCGTTCCAGGATGCTGGTTTGAAGAAAGGAGGACTGGGCGGAGGCTCTGCAGTAGCTTGAAGTTCTAAATGCTTCGATTCTGTTGAACCGCTGACATTTGCGCAATGAGTTGTCGCCTGTTGTGCGGCCAGTTCACCGGCGAGCGATAAAGGAAGGTCCATCGCGTATAGATCCGCATTCGAGCCATCGATGTCAGAAGAAGGCATATCAAAATCATTGGTCATCGAGAGTGTGAATCGTGTTGACATGAGTATTGATACGCCTTGGGGGATACGATACGATTCTGGAGTCGATACTGTGTTCGAAAGGCGAGTGAGGAAGACTAATGATCTTGCCAGGTCAGTATTCAGCTTTTCTCGCCGGGCGCTCACTTACTCATGCAACAGTGCTGTTGGAAATATATCAATGTAAGAGTAAACAAATCGATTGATTGAAGGTGAAAGAGCTCGCGGGTTCAAGCTCTTGCTTAGGTGAGGATGAAGTAATCACGATGCTCGCGTGAAATGAAGTGCCTCGTACGCTACGTGGCAGGCGTGGAGGTAGACGTGTAGTGTGATGGCCGCACTTCCATGCAGGTGGCCAGGTGTGCAGTTGCGGGTGCACATGAGACATCTAGACACGAGCAGAAGCTCTCGCAACTTGCAAGTTGCAGTATACAGGCTATCACATGTTGATAAACAGGCAGCTTCGAAGATGACTTATGCTCCTATCCTAATTTATCCGTTGTAGAATGAGACACAAATCATGACAACGTCTGGTGACACTACACCCTAAAGGGTTTAGCGTCCTCCCCTTCCAGCTGCCCCATACACGCGCAAGCCACAACACTGGAAGCTGCGAAGGAAGTCATTTCAGCAACTACGGTATGGAAACAGCAGAATAGAAAGCATAAGGCTATAAATTATAAGAAGCTAAGAATACACGCCCAGGCATCCGCCTCTCCGTACAAGCGAGACAGCTTGCAACAGGAGAGTGAAACGGAGGGTATATGCCCAAGTCGCTAGAAGAAGAAGAAGAAAGTGGATATCAAAAAAACGACATGACAACATCAAGAGTACCCATCCGAAAGTCCATCCCAGAAAAGCCGAGTCCAGAGTCCTACATATCCGGTCCCAGATCCTGTTTTCCGTTGCCAGACCAAGACATAGAACTCCCCTAACCATACCTCATGGACCCGTAAACCTACAAAAGCTAAAACCAGTGAAAGATGTTTAGAACGCAACACCAACAGCCCCTGGACTCATGACCATCGCACTTGCCCTACCATTAACGCCAACGTCCTTAGCACTAATCTCCATACCCTTGAGCAAATCAAAGTGAGGACTCATAGGCGGCTTCACATTCATGACACCGCTCTTCCTTGTTGTCGCGCTCAAGAGACCAGCCTCAGCGGCGATCTCCTTCTCCTTTACGAGCGTCAAAGGAGCAGGTACGCGGCGGAGCTTGCGGGGCGGCGAGCAAGTAGCGACGGTGGAGGCGAGAGAGTGAGTCGTTGGTGTAGGCGAGGTGGAGCGGGTGGAGGCGTAGGATGTAGTAGAGAAGAGGGTCACAGTGGCTGTGCCGTTACTTTCTTGGCTCTCTTGTCGGGTGTGTAGGGTGCGGGAACCGGATGCTGAGGGACGAGAGGTTGAGGTAGGGAGGGCGGGATAGGGCGAGCATTGGTAGAAAGAGTCTGCTGTCTTTGGCGTCGTGGGACGCGAGGAAGAGGCTAGGGTGGAGGTGGAGCGCTTGAGCCAGGCTCCTAGGCGGGCGATGGGTGTGGTGGGTGTAGCGGGTGGTGGCGGCGTGATCGGGTTCGAGGTCAAGGGGCCGGTGTGAGCGAAGGATGGTGGGGAGAGTGTGAGTCCCATCGTTGCTCGTCGAGGCGCGGTAGCTTCTGGGGTGGCGGCGAGTGGCTTGAAGCCCAGGGGAGCTGAGAAGGCAGAGCCGATGTCCGAGAGGGTCTCAGAGCGGACGTGCATACGCATGGACGGCGCGATGTAAGGCACGTGGTGAGATGGAGAGGGTGGAGGGCGATTGATGAGTGCGGGTGAATGGGCGTGGGAGCGGTAAGCGCTGGCACGGCGCTCTTCGATAATAGTGTTCAGTTCGCGGATGGCATCATCTACGTCAGTCTTTGTACGGCGAAGACTTCCTGGGCGAGAGGATGGTGCAGTGCTGGCCCGATTGCGCGACGGCGATGGGAGACGTGAAAGCACACGGGCAGGCGACAATGTGCCGGACGTGCGCGATCGCTGGATGGTGGGCTTCTCAAGCATCTGATCAACGGCAATCGGCGAGTTCTCTGGCAAGTATGCTAGAGTGGGCGTAGCCATGGTGCCCATGGTGGTTCCTGAGAGTCTCCTCTCGTGGGTCGCGGTGCTCTTCTGGCTCTGGACACTGCTCCTTCGAGACTGCCCACCGACGGGTTTACGTTGGATGACGAATGATGAGGCAGAAGGGTTTGAAGATACAGAACTCGTACGCGAATCTCTTACGCGGACATGGGCTTCAGCAGGGCGCTCCAGCTGCGATGGTAAGCTAGCCCAGGCATCCTCACCGTCGAAGTCAGGCAGCGGAGAAAGATGTCCACAACCGTCAGGAAGGTAGATGGATAGCTCAAGCGGACGGAAGCTACGACGACGGCGAGTAGGCACGGAAGCATCATCGAGCATTGAAGGCATATCATCAAGACCATCGAAGTGCCGAAAGTTGGTTGGGCGACTGATGCTAGGCCTTGAATGGGAGCGCCTTGGTCGCGCAAGGGTCGAGATGCTTGCACGAGACGAAGCACGTGTAGCGTACTCGCGACTGTTGGAAACCCATTGTGAGACATGACGGCTCACCGACTGACTTGTCGATGGGCGTTGAAGTGTTGGCTCCGCGCAAGGTTGGGGCACGGGACGCGGTTGCTCGTAGCATATGCGCATATCAGTCTCCCCTATGCATCAAGACGTTAGCGTTATGTTGGGTCGATCGGGATTGCCCTATGCGGCTCCAACATATTGGATGTCTGTTGGAGCATCGCCCGGGTATAGTCGTGCATCAAGCAGATTAAGGAGAGCGTAAGCGAGTGGCATGGTGCATCTCAACAAGAACGTTGGAGTTGGGAACCAACGGACAGCAGTCTGCTGTGATCGAGGCAGGAATCTGTAGAGACAACCGCAGAAAAGAGTGCGCAAAGTGAAGAGACAGTTGTGAGGATGGAGAGTGGAAGAAGGGATCGAACTTACCAGCGGCCCTGAGCGCATTTCTCCCATCGTCCACAAAATCCTCTTTTGATGCACAGCATCCAAACTTGATGGCCAGCCATGGGGACCTGGGTTCCTTCTCTTGCATATTCCCGTAATTCATCTTCTTTTCACGCTGTAGACCAGTACAGCTAATAACCCATCATCAAAATGATCAAAAGCAGTCGAACAAGAAGCGTGACAGAGAGTGTGGTGCCTGAAGCAGGCAAAAGCAAAGACTAACAGATACTAGAAGAGAGTAGTAGAAGAAGGTCGGAGGAAAGGGTAAGGATGAGAGAGGAAGGGCTGACTGCGCGAACCATTCGGATAAAGTCGCAGCCTGTCGACGAATGTGTTGTCCTGCAACGGATGGTTCGCTTCTAGAATGCGCAAATCCTGGAGGTCTGGCCGTCAGGAACAGCGAACCACTCGCACTTCACAGGACGACAGTGGCTCGCATGTTATAGATGAGGCCTGTCCCTGACCATTCTGTACGCGCCCAATGGCAGCGCATCCCTGCCATGGAGGTTGTCAACTTCACCAGCTAGCTCGTGTGGAGGCTTGCGCGCATTGAGGCGAAATGGTAGGGTGCCGGGTGTGATTGGCTAGGAAAATAGAGTAAGCGCTCGAGGCAGAGCGGAGACTCGCAGTAACGTGGACCAGTGACGAGGCAATAGCGCTTGCGGCTTGAAACTGCCAGAGGCCTTGTCGGCATGTGGCGCGCTGGGTCCCTTTTCGTTGGCAGATCTGGCATCAGGGCTGTTACTTCATATTGCCATGTTCGAGCATGCGCACAGCTGTCGCGTCCTTGGGTAGATCACCGCGACATGGCGGGGATGCCTTGGAACACTGGCCTTTATCTGCGACGTTTGAAACATGCGCATCGCAACGAGCGTCATTGTTTGAGACGCGCACAAATGGATTTCCGATATATGAGGGTAGTGTTGAGTTGATGGGTCCATGATGCCTGGGTCTGGTGGAAGGTGCAAATCACGCGTGCGCCTGCCCCATCGGTTGCTGAGGCTCTCGCCAAGATCGCTCCCGCACCGGCATGCATCCCAGGATGTGCGACAGCGAATCAGTCCTCTACCCACGATTTCTGGTATAAGCCTTCATGCTAGCGGGTAGTTTGCAATTGGTGAGATGCATAATTCATGAAACAAGCACGCAAGAAATCAACAGTCAACTCACCCAACCACAGACAAGAAATGGACTTTAGAGGCGACAGTGAGGAGAGTCTACCCATCTTCACCGGTGCCAGCGCATTGAGAGACTTGGAGGCCTTACGAAAAAAGCTCATCTCGTCCTGATTTGTACCCGTTCCACAGAAGCGGAAGAGCAAATCTCCACCTCTATCCCGTTTGGGGTGAAGGTTTTCATCGGGCTTGGTTCATTGGCCGCATGATCTAGATGACAGCGGAAACGAATGCACAACGGACCGTACATTGCACTCGTTAGTTAGATGTATAGTAGATGAATTTCGCCGTAGTTATGCTAACTGAACAAGGATATCGCTGACATTCTAACACCGCAGGAAAAAATATCGCAAGGTGTAAATGTGTGGCATAAGCTTGGGTATAAAACAGATCGATGGCCCAAAGTCTGACAATGAGTGCCTCCTTGAGATCGGGATCGGGATCGCATCATCAGTCGGCATTCCAAGCGTTGCGCTCTTCTCTGAAACTGCCGTAGGACGGACTGGGATGATCCTCGGCCTCTTCACTGGTCTTCTGGTTGCTGACATCGCGCGTTTCCCAGTGATTGGCCTCGCTAACAATGTGTGGCTTGATGTCGTGTTTCCGCTGTTCCTCTTCGCTTTGGTTCTCGGTAAACGCATAGTTCAGGTTGTGCTCAGCTTCTGGATTCTGCGGCTCAGGCTCATCGGGGTTGAAGCCTTCTCGAACCTCTTCTTCCTCGCCTGGCTCGTATGTTTTACTAGAGATATGGTTAGTCTCCTATTTGGACTCGAGTATGGAGGGGAGACCTACACAAAGTGCTTGGAAGGAACCTCATTCCATCCTGGACCACCTTCCTTACGCGCTCTGACGCGGTCGACTTCTTCTGCCTGATGATCCTCGACAACGAGATCCACAAGCTGGCTCTTGTCCGATTTCGCTGAGCTGGACGAAGAAGACTTCTGGCGGAGAAGGTTGCTAAAGGGCGCACGCGAATTGGAATGCGAGGACTTTGAGCGGGAAGACTCTCCGTTGCTCGACTGGTCGCGTTGTTTGCCCTTATCTACAGATTTTTGTAGATCCTGAATTTGGCTCTTCCTCCTGCGCTTGTTTTCCTTGGTGGGTTGCAGTAGGTTTCGGTTGGTCGATGCGGTCAGAATGTTGGGATCGGCGTACATGCGGTCTTCACGAGATGGACGGTGGGCTTCGATGACGGGGTACTACAGCTAGGTCAGACAAGACACGATTGCATATGGATGTATACTTACGTTCCAGTCTCCGAACTCCAGCGTACGTGCGTTATCATATAAGCGCTCTTCCTCGGCGTCCAGATTGGGCTCTTCGACCACGTCGGGTGTACCGTACTTGGCACCTTCGCCTTTGAGAGCCTTGTGCGGCCCTGGACTCATGGCTCTAGCGCGGCTCGATGTGACCTTGTTAAGGAGTGGTTCATGCTCCGATGCTTGTCCAGGCTTGGGGATCCAGTATTTGCCCTTGCCTCCTCGCTCGTATCTCATGCCTTCGGCCATGCGTGCAGCACGCGATGACGACTCCTCGTGTGCCAGCACGTTGTCGCGCGCATCGAAGTAGCGATATTCGTAGTGATTGCCAGCAAAGGTTTCCTTGGTGTCTTGGATGAGATCCAGGGGACCGAAGGCGTCGCGCAGCGCATATTTGACGGGCAAGCGGGCAGCCGATATGGTATCGTCCGCGTAGTCGTGCCAAGAGAAGGCATACCAATGAGCCAGCGCAAACAGTGGCATCTCGAAACAGATGAGAGCATCCTGTACCGCAGCGGCAAGATTGTCAGGGCTGTAGCCCGGCACATCGTCTGGAATGGCGCCAAGGAAGACGAGAATGGATAAGAAGAAGCCTTGCCAGTATGAGGCGAAGATGATACCTTTGATGCACAGGAACTTGGGCATAGGCCGGAAGGGCTTGAGATCTGTAGACATGCACACCCAGAACATGGCAAGGGCGTACAGACTGATGGTGATGCTGACGTTGTAGATCATGCCACTCCAGAAGTAGCCGGACGTCAAGCCTATGTATCCTTCCTTGTATGTGCCGGTAGCCTTCATGATGATGGTGGCCACGGACAGTAGCGGTTTGACCCATGTGTATTGCAGAATGCCGCGCTTGATGGCGAGGAAGGTATGCGGGTCGGATATGTCGATCTTGGAGCAGACGAGGTTGAGAGGCCATGGGTGGGAGACGGGAGCGCGACCGGTCATGAGGATGATGAGGGCGCGTTCGCCGCCGATGAAGTTGATGAGCAGCTGAAGGAAGGTGTAGATGGTGAAGGCCTCATAGACATCTCTGAAGGGCTCTACATAGGACGCGGCTATGGTCGACACCAAACTGGCCCACGATGCGCCTGCGTAGATGGGAACCCTTGATAACGTGAGCGATGACACGCGACAGCTGGAGAGAGGGCTCACATGAGGAGGATGCGGACGACATATCGCTGTAGCACCGGCTTGCGGTAGTTCTTCCTATGGATTGTTCAACACATGTCTATCGGTAGGTGGGTGTGTTCCTCACGTCTGTAACCATACAGCACTGCAGCTATGTCAGTTCGGGTCATGCAAGATGGAAGCTCTACTGCCTACACAAATGTGACCAGACTCGCGACCAGAGCGCAGACGCCGGCCACGATGATAATCGCACGTGCAAACCGGGCGCCGGTGCCGCCAGACGAGAAGTCGGCGGCCGTGAAGTCGGGTGGGAGGGTGCCTAGAGCCATGGTGAGGCGTGGGCCAGCGAGGGAATGCAACAGGAAAGAACTGAAGTCGCAGTCCTCGGTCGGTCGTTGCTAGAGGGACAGACGGTGGTGTTAGCGATGGAACGCAGCCATGGTGTGTGCTGTCGACTTGCGCCGGGCGTCGAGTGGGTGGTCTTGTGCACGTTTGCCCTCCACAGTGTGGTAGGTTTGCGGAGAGGCAGCACAGGCCCAAGCTCGCTTCCCTGCAACACGCCCATGACGCGCATCCTGCCAGCTGCCGGGCGCGCCTCGAACCTCAATCGGCCCTGGCCCAGTAGCGCCGTCGTCCCTAGGGCATGCTCCAACATTTCCACGCCATTGTCGCCCTACCCGTCTCGAGGTATCAAGACGACGCGTGAATGCGCCATAGCGACCCGGGCGCTCTTTCCTCACTGCTCGTCCACGACAATGCGCGACTTCCCCCTCGAGCCATGAAGACACTCACCCTCCTACACACAACGCGCTGCAGTCATGGCGGGAAGAATCGTCGCGGAGCCTCTGGACCCGCGCGACGGCTTCAACTGGGTCTTCCTGGTTGAGCTGCTCATCTGCGGCATCCTGACCATCTTCTTCCTCTTCTACTTCAACCGCCTCTTCGCCACGCTCGTCTCCTACGGCATACGCGCCTACACCTGGCGCACCTTCGACGCCTACATCGACATCACTTCGCTGCAGATCTCCCTACTGGGCGGTCGCATCTTCTTCAAGGACATACGGTACCATGGCCACAACGAGACGATACTGGTGCATGGCGGATACATCACTTGGAACTACTGGCTGCGCCGGGTCAAGGATGCAGGCGTATACACCGACGGCGACCCTGCCTCCGAGGCCGACAGCGAACGCACACCAAGCACGCCGAGGAGCCGTTCTGGAAGTCGAAGCGGGAATCTAGACAAGGCCGAGAAGGGAGGCAAGCAGACGCGGAAGGAGCTACCATGTCGCTTCTCCATCAAGATCTCCGGAATCGAAGCCTTCATGTATAACCGGAGCCCCGCATACGACGGTATCATCGACGCAGTTGAGAAGAAGGCAAAGGCCGCTGCGCAGGATGCAAAATCGCCGGAAGGGTCAGTGGCGGACTATGAAAAGACGGAGAAGGAAGAGCACCACCACATCAAGTTGAGGAAGCCACACACCGACAGCGACAAGAAGGTCAAACGAGCCGACACAGGTAGATCGACCTCGTCAAGCCCTAAGAAAGCCGACATTCCTGCCTTCCTTCGACTCCTTCCCGTCCATGTCGACATCGTCAAGGGCGCCATCGTGGTAGGGAACGAGCACACGCTGGCCGTCATAACCGCGCAGTTTGAGAAAGCTACCGGCACTCTTGATGCTTCCACCTGTCGGCCACTGGACGTGTACCAACAGCTGTTCAACTTCCAAGTCACCCATCCCGTCGTGCACATGAAGCCCAACCCCGACTACAAGATTGGACAACTCGAGTCCGCTGTGCAGTATAAACAGGAGGCAGCAGGGGGTGTTCCGGAGGACTCCATCATCGAAAAGGAAGCAAGGCATAGGCGACATTGGCGATGGCTGAAGAGGATTCCTACCTGGGCTGGACTTTTCTCCCGCGACTCGGATTCTATCCACACTCACACCCGGTCAGGCACTGCTAATAACCCGCCTTTGAACTCACAATGGCACTTCCCTGGTCGCGAGCGCTGGAAGGGTCTGGCAAGGTACCTGGACGACACTACCAACGATGGTCACGGCGAATGGGACGGCATCGAATACGCCAAGACATCATTGATCGCCGACTGCCCTTGTGTCAACGTCTCCTTCTATTGGGATGTCCCTGGTCCGGTCCAGAACGATATTGACCAAAGCACGCAAATCGATCCTGCTCGCCCCTACGACATCAACGGAAGCATCCCCCCTGATTATGGCATGGACATACAGATATTTGGTGGCACTATCAACTACGGACCCTGGGCGGATCGCCATCGCGGAATCTTCCAGAATATGTTCTTTCCTGGCTCGCGGGTCGACGCTGTTCCCGCAACGCCTTTGAAGGCCGGTGAGCTCCGTGTTCAAACCGTGTTCAAACTTTACCTCTGTATCGAGAAAGATACGGTACTACGCATACCAACCCGCGAGCCTTCCAAGGACTGGAAGTGGAAAGGGAAAGCCCACACATTAGCTACACACGACAAGTCTGGCGCTGATAAGAACAAGGGCAAGACCAAGTCTCGCATCAGGAGAGGGAAGCGTCGGGATGCTGGTGGTGCACAGAATGTGCGTCCGTTCGCATGGATCGATGTCAAGATAGCGGAGCAATCCACTGTCAATTATGTCATGGATATGTACGCCTCGAAGCAGGGATACCAGAGCAAGGTCGATGTCGATATCGCGAGCACAGAGATCTCATCCAGCGTCAATCATGGTCTTCTGTGGCGTTCCGGTCCCATCGCTCTTGACTGTGACCTCTCTAATCCTCTTGGATGGAACACTTTACGAAAATGGCTGTTCAACATCAAGTGTCAAGACCTGGAACTGTTCTTGCTGAGAGATCATATGTTCCTCATCATGGACCTCGTAGCTGACTGGGGCTCTGGGCCACCACCCGATTACTTTCTTTTTGTACCTTTCCAGTACTTACTTAACGTCGACTTTTCCAACTTCAAGTTGTATCTCAACACAAACGACGCTAACATTATAAACAACCCCTCTGATCTAGAAGACAACAACTTTGTCATTCTGTCGGGCCAAAACTTACAAGGAGAAGTGTTCATACCTCTAGACAAGTTCCGGCCACTTGAAAGTGTGATCAAGTTCGATGTCAAGGGCCAAAATTTGGGTCTAGAGGTTCTGATGCCTCAGAAGAACACATTGCGCACCTTTCTGCAGTCGCCGAAGGTGGCTCACTTAGGCGGACTTACCTTGACCGGTAGTCATACCTTGATGAACGAGACATCAACGATGCACACCGACAGGCTCTTCATGGACATTCAAGGTCAAAAACTCAGTCTTGAACTGTACGGTTGGCTCATACATCACTTTATGAAGATCAAAGACAACTACTTCGGCGACGACATGCATTTCAAGACACTGGAAGAATTCCAGGGGCTACCAAGTGCAAGCCTAGCTGCAGATGGAGCCCAGCCGGACGCCCAACCAGCCAAGCTTTCTAACGACCTGGACGTAATCCTCTGTATTTCCGCCGATGAATCATGTGCACTGCTACCAGCCAATCTGTATGCAGCGGGGCGTGGTATTCGAGCCGACCTTCCATTCGTTTCAGCAGACCTCAGGTTTACCAACTACTACATGGATCTGATGGTCAATTTCAGTCCCATCAGCGTCTCTCTTGGAGGGTTGGTACCAGATACCGAGATACCCAACGAATTCACAAGTGGGCCTACGGAGCTCTTTGTGGACTCCACTGTCATCTTTGGACATCGCCTTTTCGGCCTCCCTCCAATCGAGCCGACCTATGTGTGTAGCTGGGACTTTGATGTAGGCAGAATATCGGGAGATTGCACATCCGAGTTCATTGAAACTGCGGCAGGAGCAGCACGCGCATTTGCTTTCACCCTCGACGACGATGAAAACACCCTGCCCCTCACTGAAGTCCCGGTGATCCACGATGCGACGTACCTCAGACTGAGGACCGATGAGGTGAGTATCTGTGCACACATCGCACAAGAAGCACTGCTGTTCAAAACGAGCCCCATCAGTCTCGACTTTAATGATCTTGCTGGAAGTACGTTCTCGCAGCGACTCAGTGTCTCAATACCAGACTTTACGATCACAGCTGTTCCATCCAAGTCCGTGGCGCATCACAGGACGCGCCCCAACGAAAAAGAAGCGGTCACTACGCAGGCTTACCTTCAAACTGCCTTGTCGCTAAATCTGCTGACGCGGAAGTTGGACTTCTCGGAGGAGCGCGCGCAACAGCAGGCTCACATACGAATGCACGACAAGCGGACGAATCGAACTCGGTTTCTGCTTACCGACGAACGCGGTTCTTCCTCATATCAAGACGATGCCAATCGTCAGTATGTGCGCACACCAGCAATGCAATATCCTGATGTGCCCCATCCTATCTTCCTCTTCCAACCACCTCATCAGACTAGCTCGTTCACGTCATCCAAACAATCCTCAAATGCTTCATCGTCCAAGGCAGCACGACTGCGTGCGACTAGCAAGCGCTCATCATCCTCAAAGTCGATCGCCAGCAGCATCAGATCCGCGGTCAGACACAAGACAGTCAACAAGACTGCGGCTAGCAGTGAGAGTCGAACCCTGCTCAGTGGATCACCAAACCCAGCAGGGGCCAGGTATCGATCTTACTCACCTTTCAAGGAGGATGAGCATGTCAAGCCAGGCTGGGTGCCATCTTCCGTTGCATACTCCAGCAGCTTGGCTGTACCTCACTTTACCTTCGATCGGGTCGAGCCGGATTTGTCGAATGTTCCGATCTTCCCTGCCATACCTCCCACCAATTATGTTCAGGACGCGGATGATGTTGTCTTCAATGATGTATCGACAAAGCATTTGGATGAGAGCTTCACACATAGCAGCATACTCATTAGCGCGGAGCCAGGCATACGCGTCTTTTGTACACCAGAGTTCGTTACATGTGTATCGAGTCTGATTGAACTACTCCAGCCGAAGCGTCCTGAGGACATGTTGGACGAGTTTCAGGTCGATGTGATGACCAAAATTCTCGAGAATCGCAACCGACTAGAGGGAAAGGGTAGTTCTGTGGAGTTTAATGTCCGCATCCCTTTCACACACGTTCGTTTCCAACACACATTCCGATCACACTCCATGAATGAGACCGGGCAGGACCAGTACGATCTCATTCTCAACAAGTTAACTTTGGCGGCAAGGATCAAGAAGTTTCCGGGAGAGCGAGCTGGCGAGAACTCTCTTTCGTTGCATTCCACTCTCGGTTCGCTTGGCCTGTCAGTGACCGAACGCGACGTTCATGGCGATGGTGGAGCAGTTGCTGTACAGGCTGAAATCAGGGA